AGAAATCAGAGCTAGGAGAAAGGTAAATTTGTGGCTTCACAATGGTACTGCTCAGGACCTCCAGGAAAGCAGAGAAGACGCTGAAGTAGGCATATGAAGTAGAAGAAATTCTATTCATTAAGGCAATGAGGATAAAGGGGCTTGTTCTGCTGGATAGGGAAAAAAAAAAAGGCTGCGAAATAAAGCATGTGGAAAGTGTCATTAGTTTCTCAGCGATTAGAAAAAGAAGGTAGAAGAAATTAGGAAAGGGGGCAGGGACTGAACTTTCAAGATAAAGGGAAAAAGCTTATGCCACCAGAAAGAAATAAACATAGCTAATATATTGAACATATTGTTCCAAACATTTTTCAGCCTCTCTTCTCCCTGTGCAATAATTTTGTATAAAAACAGAATGCATCTTCCTCTTAAACATGGAAATACCTTCTCATTTGTAAGAAAAGCAATTAATCCACCTACCATCAGAAGACAAAAAACCTCACATTACCTAATGGTGAGGTGGCTAAACTGTGGCAGGGTTGATCAGCCTGAGTTTATTTAGTCTTTGTCAAAGCAAATATCAAAACCACATTTTTGTTTAAAATCTGACTTGTGACGCCTGCTTACCTATTTATAGCTGATGAAGTTCTCACAGAAAGCCACAGTCAGTGCTATCTTATCTTTCGGTAAGCAAAGTGCTGTTTACCTTGCATGGGCTCAGCATTCCTTGTTGTTTCCACAGGCAGTTTAATTAGGATGCATGTTCACCCAACAGAAGCAGTGAATGGAGTGGTAAATAATAGTTGGTAGAGCAGTCAGAAGCATTTCATTATCAGTGACTTATTATAAGCATGGTAATTAAAAAAGATAAAAGGTCAAACAGGACAGTAACATACAACAGGGGTTTGCTGCTCACCAGATTATTTGCTTTGAGATTGTGCTGCCACACCATTCACAGTCGCATCAATTCAATCCTCTTAGAAAAAGCTCCTTGTGTATGATCCTTGAAATGATCCAATTATCATTATGTTAACTCAGGTCATTTGAGATGCTTTAAATGGAATTATCAATGTGCACAATTTCAATACTTGCATTTAACTGGCCAGTCGTTTAACCTGCTCTGGTGAATTCTAGCAGAATAAAGCTGTACCAGCCATCTATTTCTGTAACGTTTTTAAACAATATCTGCAGTACTTCCCACGTAGAAGTATCTGCTTTGCATAAAATGTATATAACCATGATCCTAGGACAAGCAGGTGAACTGTGGCAAGTGAGAATGACAGCAAAAATGACAGTGGTACAGAAAAGAAATCATCGCCTGTACGGAGTTCACACCACCACGGCTGCCCTGTCTCACCGCTCAGCACTGCTATGGGCCCATGCCTTCCGAAACAAATTACTTTCTTCTCCTGTGTTGAAGCTTTTCCTAATGCTCTAAAGTTACAGATGTCCTCAAGGCAGCAGATCTACCCGAGGCTAGCTCTGAAACTTTGACATTTCCAGGAAATTTAAAAATTCTGCTGGGGATTAGCAGTGCCTTCCTCACTGTGCTTCAGATGTAAAGCTCCTAGGAGGTTCATTCTCACAGCAACATTCGAACTGTTTTCAGGTATACGTACGGCAATCCATATCTATTTACCCCAAAGCAACCACATTAGGTATTTCTGCTTCCTTTTCATTTATTGAAAATAATGATGGATTTCATTATTTATTAATTATAATTCCTTAGTATGATTTAAAACTGATAACATACCAAACACATCCTTTGCACAATTCCACTGACTTCAGTGTTACACCAAAACCTTGAATTCCAGAAGGGTTACAGTCTCACACAGGTGAATTGAAGTGTCATACTATTTCTTGACCAAATTCCTGATTCTTCATGGGAATTGATCTGCCTTTTTTACTTCCCAAGCACTCCAGAATAAGCTCAGCGAATTCAATACCTTAGAGAGCCAGACACAAGTTTCCCAACTCAATTATTTTTTGTTTATTTTAACACATTTCTGAAAACGTAATATAATAATTATTACACTTTCTTGAAAGCACATATGCTATTAATTACATCATCTGAAGCTACTACTGGCATGAAAAAGTACAGGCCACCATGTGGGTGGAAAAGGGAAATTGGAAGGTAAACAACGAAACACACTACACTGAAGGGTGGATGAAGTGACCATAAGAAAGGTGCCTTGACATCTATGCACAGAAACAATCCCATCGAAGGGGGAATATTCACTATCAGCTACATTTGTCTTAGCCACTGAATCTGCCAGTTAGTACCCACAGAGCAGGATGCACTTGCCAAATAGTACCACCGATTGGTTAATCTGGTCACGGAGAAAGGTCTTGCTCAGCCCTAACTGGGCCCTGATCGACTTTACTGCAAGTCTAACTTGCGCTGCGCAGAAACAATCCCATCGAAGGGGGAATATTCACTATCAGCTACATTTGTCTTAGCCACTGAATCTGCCAGTTAGTACCCACAGAGCAGGATGCACTTGCCAAATAGTACCACCGATTGGTTAATCTGGTCACGGAGAAAGGTCTTGCTCAGCCCTAACTGGGCCCTGATCGACTTTACTGCAAGTCTAACTTGCAGTGGTGATTTTCTTAGTAGAGACTTCACTACAGTTTCTTCCTGCTAAATTCTGGGCTGTAATCTCAGTGGATATATAAGTGAGCAAAGACTATGATAATGAATAGACAGCACAGCCCCAGCACGTAGCTGGGACAGGGCAAATATTGCCAGACCTTGATGTTGCAGAACCTATCAGTTATTGTCAGATCTCCTTGGGCACTTTCACAACCAAGGGATGAGATAAGAAGATTTATCTTGAAATCTTTTTATTGTGGTTCTCCCTGTCCTCTGGATAGCATGACCTTCCACAGAGCCAAACACCACGTATTCTAGATTTGGCACAGTTTGAAAGCCAGGAAGTTTTGCTCAGGATGTATCGCAGTGCCGCATGTGAGCAGGATGGCGTACATTTGTTTGTCAGCTGTATTTGCTTGGCTTTTTAACTTCTTAAACATGGCAGAAATAGCTGATGTTGTTTTGAGGCATCTGTACCAACTGGGGCAACAAGACTAATTCACAGAATGAACTGGAGAGACTGGGAGTGTCGCATTGCACATCTCGACGAAGGGTTTATTAGTTGCATTTAACTACATATTCCAAACTTGATAGAATTATCAAGAACCTAAATCCTGAAATTACCCTGCTAGCTTTATGGAAATGAATCAGCTTATTAATGCAAATGTATACTAGAACATGAGCTAAGATAGAGAAATACCGAGTCTTTTAAAAGCTAATAAATTGAGAGCAAAGGGTGACCTTGCCCACAAGGTGCTGACTGCAACCCATATTCTGGGATCAGTTCCTGGCTCCGCTTCAGACTTCCTGGGTGGGCTTTGCCGAGACATATCTATGCCTCACTTCCCTATTAAAAAGGCAATCCATTTGGAATAAGGTTTGTCTCCCAACAAGAGCATGTCAAACACTTAACAGAGTAGCATTCTGCCCTTAACAGGAAGGTCAGTGCTGAACAACGCAAATAATGAGCAACCACCTCCGTTACAACGTAGTCCATATTTCTATAATGACAGGTATCTGTTCCTTCTGGATGCATCTGTTCTGCCCAGGGTCTTAAGGTGTGTATATTTATCTATGTAAAAGTGACTTACATTTATAAGGGTTTTGTTTGTTCGTTTGTTTTAAAGCTAATACATTTCACTTCATCTGTGTTTGAGGCAGCACAAGTTGGATGTGGCTGACAGCTGTCAGGATCCTGCAGACAGCAATAAACACTACTCTGCAATAATAACTATCCTTTTTTTTTCTTCTTCTTTTAAATCTCCACTGTTTTTGAGGGAAGACTATCTATTTGTAGACTCTGGAAAAGATTTAGTATCAGAGTCACTCCACTATTTTTGAGGGAAGACTATCTACTTGTAAACTCTGGAAAAGATTTAGTATCAGAGTCACAGCGTATTACCTGCTTCCTAAATTTGTAAGTCATTAATAAGGAAATCATTCTTGCAGAACACACAAGCCCTGGCAAACCAAACAGGTGCCCTGTAAAGGAGATTTCATACCATTTCCATATACTTAATACAGTCCAGAAATATTTTTCGTACACTAAGACTACAACTCTTGGATACATAAATCTTGTCAGTAACTGAAAAGGTAATGTGAATTGTGGTTCCCCCTTGCACCCTTCTTAAACTCTTTCTACAGTTATTAATGTGCAACAAATCAGCACGTCTGGATTTTCACAGATCTTTTTTTTTCCTCATTAGTAGTTAAATACCATAGTTCCAAGCCAGATGGGGAGCTAGGTAACTTCTGAATTCTTAAGGTATTTATGGTACAACAGAACACTAGATTGTGCAAGTATGCTCATCTTTCTCTGTGATGTAAAAATTGTCTCAAAGAATTAAGCTTAATGAATAGAAAAAAAAATTCTAGTGATTCACAGCAGAGATCAAAATGAGTACCTAATCTGAATTCACTTACTTTCTTAACGCATTACACTTTGTATTTGCAGAATGAACTGGTATTCAGAGTGCTTAAGTGTCGTTTCTGAGATATCTCAATAACTTTGCTCGTTAGATATATTACCTATTTATGGAAAAAAAAAACCCTAAAGACTCTCCTGAATTTACAGTTATCTGCTATTTTGAGTCTCTATTATTATTTTTATGACATATGTTCACTGACCAGTCTTATTTTAAATTGGAACCTTGTTAATTGAAAGAAGTTGGTTAGATTTCATTTATGTTGAAAAGAATCCTACAATGTTCAGTCAACTCCTAACATTCTTATCTCTGTTTTATGCTGCAAACGAAGTCTATATTAGAATAGAAATTGGTTGAGAAAACACTTGAAGATGGCTTATTTTTAAATACAAAGACATTGACACATTGTGTTAGACACAAAACCTTGACATTTAATTGAAACTTTTTAAAAATTAAATCCCTGTCGTGAATATTTTCTTCCTCTTTTCCCCTCCTAGGTGACCTTCGTATTTTCTCCCTGAAACTAGGTTACAGCTGAAGAGATCAAGATGGTCCCAAATTACTCTACCGAAGAAACCGTTAAAAGAATCCACGTCGACTGTCCCGTTTCAGGAAGGCACAGTTACATCTACATTATGGTTCCAACTGTTTACAGCATCGTCTTTATCATAGGCATATTTGGGAACAGCCTGGTCGTTATTGTCATTTACTGCTACATGAAATTAAAAACAGTAGCCAGCATCTTTCTTCTAAACCTGGCGCTGGCTGACTTGTGTTTTTTGATAACTCTGCCGCTCTGGGCAGCCTACACGGCCATGGAGTACCAGTGGCCTTTCGGCAACTGTTTATGCAAGTTAGCATCAGCAGGGATAAGTTTCAACCTGTACGCCAGCGTGTTCCTCCTCACATGCCTTAGTATTGACCGGTACCTGGCCATAGTACATCCAGTGAAGTCCCGAATTCGACGTACCATGTTCGTTGCCAGAATAACTTGCATTGCCATCTGGCTTCTCGCCGGTGTGGCCAGTTTGCCCGTCATCATTCACCGTAATATCTTCTTTGCTGAGAACTTGAACATGACAATCTGCGGTTTTCGGTACGACAACAATAACACAACGCTCCGGGTTGGGTTGGGTTTATCCAAAAATTTGCTGGGCTTTTTAATTCCTTTTCTGATCATATTAACAAGCTACACCTTAATTTGGAAGACCCTGAAGAAGGCATATCAAATTCAAAAAAATAAGACTAGAAATGATGATATTTTTAAGATGATTGTGGCAATAGTATTTTTCTTCTTCTTTTCCTGGATTCCTCATCAAGTGTTCACTTTTCTGGATGTATTAATTCAGTTACACGTAATAACAGACTGCAAAATCACTGATATTGTGGATACGGCTATGCCCTTCACCATTTGCATCGCTTACTTTAACAACTGTTTGAATCCTTTTTTTTATGTTTTTTTTGGAAAAAACTTTAAAAAATACTTCCTGCAGCTAATAAAATACATTCCACCAAGTGTCAGCACACATCCAAGCCTAACAACAAAAATGAGCTCCCTCTCATATCGGCCACCAGAAAATATACGCTTGCCCACTAAAAAGACTGCTGGGTCTTTCGACGCCGAGTGATGCGTTTTGCAACACTTTTTTTTTTTTGAACAACCTTGTGAACGAAGCAGCAAGAATGACAAAATTCATCTGGAGTCCTGAACATCACAGCTTACTGCTCATTGCAGAAACATCAGATCACCGCAGAGAAATCACACTGTAAAGATGTAGCAGTGGCCTTTTATTTTACATTGTGAAGAGGACTGCTGGTTTTCATTTTGTTTTTCTTTACCGAAAGCAACATAAGTGGTGGACAGGCATGTCAGAGTTTCTGTCAGCATCCTGCCGTTTACTCAGAACTACAAAAGAAGGGTAGAGAAAACTCCTAACTTAAGTTCAACGATCTTTTTAAAGGAAAAGCTTGTATAAAATACCTGAATTATGAAGGACGTGTTTTGCACATACATGAGTTATTCCAAGTTTTGTTCAAGGAGCTGATAGAGCTACACTGCTTGTTTTGTTGGGGTTTTTTTTAATGACGTAAATGTCATATCATATTTATAATACATTTTCAAATATATGCTATAGATAGAGGCCCAATTTTAAACTCAAATGGAAATTTAAGGTACTTTAAATTGGTCTCATTCTGATTTATGCTACTATTTTTCATTTTTTTAATGGCAAATTTTTCATAATATATGCAATAAAATGCAGATTTATTTATTAAATATAGAAGAAATATATTTTTAGATTTATATTCCTACTCATAGATTTCAAACATTGCTTCATGAATGTACATTTATATCCCAGTGGGTATTTTTATAGAAGTTTAAAAAAATATATATCTATGTATACACACACACAAAAATGGCGTTCACTTAACCTTTCCTCATGATCTGCCACACTGACTTGGAAGAACATTACTTATGGAGTGGGTTGACTCCATACTCTATGTGGCTAAAAGTAAAATTCTGTATTTGAAAACATGAATTCTGGGACAGAGGTGATCAGAAAACTTCAAGCTGTTTTTGTATAATAACCAGTGCACTCGATGAGAGAAATTACCAACTAATCAAATCCACTCAATTTTTCAAATTCCTGGACATTTAATAATTCCCATAAGCAAAAATGTGACAACGCTTGTATTACAGTTTAACTAATAATGCTTTTAGTCACATCACGAAACTTCCGAGATCAAACTTTACTCTTGGCTTTTATGGAATTGTTCTCCATTTATACAAAACTAAGCCTAGAGTATTTGCTCCCTGTAGAACCTTTTTTATGTGTATGGAAAGAATTCAAACTTATACTAGCATAAATCAGAACAAAAGTCTGGCTTAAACTCTCCATACAAATGATGGGGGAAAAGGTGGTAAGCACTGTAGGAGGTTTCAGCTAATGATATCCTCCTATGTCCTTTTTACCTCAAGGAATGAGCTCCAGAAAATATTTATTCTTGAGTCACACTCATTTATTGTCTTCAAAGATAAATGAGTTCATAAATACTTTTTGACATAGTAAAACTTAAGAAAAATTCCAAAACTGTACATATATCACGTAGACAGTTACATGACCCTTGAGAATTTGCAATATTTATAATCTTCAAAAATACACATCTAATGCGGCTTTGTCTTGGGTAGCAAGTGGTTGGATTATCCATATATTCTGATTATCAGTCTCTTGCATATACACAAATAATATTTTAAATTATTTTTTACTTTAGGAAATTATTTTAAATCAAAACACAACAAAAAAGTTACTTCTGTAGTTTAATACTTTTTAAGAAAAAACGGGACTACAACCAGGTCTGGGAATCTTGTGCCTCTTCCTGCTCTTTCATTCACTTATTTTAAGGCAAGTTCCTTCAGTTTTGCCTTTGTTCTTCCACCTGCAAAATGGGAACAATCTCTACTTACATATGTCACAAGGCACTGTGAGGATTCACTAAAACTTCTAAAGCTGCATGTTAAAAAAAAATGCTCTTTCATTGAAGGTTTAAGTTAATTTAATCGCAAGCTAGTATCTCAAAATTTGAAACCTGAATGTGTCATTTAAAGACACAGTTAAATTATTCCTATTTCATATAATGCTTCATATTTAGCTTATATCTGTCCTTACACGCGAGACAGCCATTCGTTAAAAATGAAGATGGCAATAGTCCCATGCATTATAAATGGCATCCAGAACAGCACCACTGCCTCAGCACTCAGTAAGCTGACAAAGGACTGACAGAGCCTGCCGTTTATCTGTATGATATTTTGTTCATGTACACACGTGCACATGCTGAGCAGCATCGGGAGCTTCCCCTGGCAGAAGCAGATCTGCGTCAGACATAATTCAGTGTGCTCTGCTTGCCACCTGCTGGATGCAGCCACAAATTTGTTTTTCATCTCAAAATTTGTTATAGGAAGAGACAGCAATATTTCCCTGCTTCCTGATGGATCTGGAGATCCTTACCTGTGGCAAAGCTCCTGTAGAAATGAAATACAAACTTGTCCATCGGGGAGGTAGTTAACTTCCTTGACAGAGGCTAAGCAAGCATTTCCTCATCACCTGCCGATCCCTTTGGTCACTGAAACCCAGTGTCCCCAACGACCACAATAGATAGCTCATTTGCAAAACGTTGATTGCCTTACTACAAGAGCCATCCCAAAGAGAAGAAATATATATGTGCATAAAGGTAAAAATCAAAGCATATTTGTGCACATGATAACTAAGTATTTAGCTGAAAGGACTCATTTATCACCAAGAAGAAAAAGAAGCAGAATCAGTGGTGACCGTGAACGGTAAAAATGACTGTATTACAGTGGAAAACAGAAGAGAAGCCATCGGTTAGTGATTTTGATCATTTCATGCCAGATCATGCGTTTTTAAGAGACTGCGTAACCCAGGCTGCTGGTGCCACCTGTGCCTACCTGCGTCATGGGAAAAAGCACGAGCATGCACATTTGGCTGGGCTGCTGCAGGAAAGGCAGGAAGGGATTGCAGCTGGTGTGCTTTGAAGGCAAGACTGACCTTGAATTGATAGGCAAAGAGAGTGGAGGGCAAAGCTGCTGTTAAATAGTGCTTGGAAATTTTTGTTCTCCTAAGGGGTAGGAAAATGATCATCAGCTGCCAAATATAGTGGATCCTAGTTTAGTGTTCCCTTAAAAAAAAAAGTGGCAAATCAATAGATACTGAAAAGTATCCAGAGATAAAACTCTCAAGCAACTCTAATTGGGCAGCAGCAGAGAGCAAACTCCTTCGGAGCACAGAGTTACTGTGTACAGCCACGTCCTGCAGTTTCAGGCGTCCCCACAAAGCCCCGAGCTGACAGGTAACTGAAGCGTCCCTGTTTCCCTCAGCACACCCACACCACTTCCATCACACATCTAGCTGCAACCAATGCAGGTGCTGAGAAACGCATTGCTGCTGAGCCTGACGCTCCTCTGCCCACCTACTCGCTGAAAATACTGTGCTGGAGACCTGTGCATGGGGCAGGCAGAGCAGCAGCGTGACAGAGTGCAGGATCTGGCCGCTGTTGTGAACCCTTGGCTGTATGGTCCCTGCTGAGGGGCAGGTGGGAGATGGCCAGGGTATCCTTTGGTGCAAGAACCTACTCCTTGCCAGCAGAGGAGGGGGGGAGTAAGCCCGAGCTGACAGGTAACTGAAGCGTCCCTGTTTCCCTCAGCACACCCACACCACTTCCATCACACATCTAGCTGCAACCAATGCAGGTGCTGAGAAACGCATTGCTGCTGAGCCTGACGCTCCTCTGCCCACCTACTCGCTGAAAATACCGTGCTGGAGACCCGTGCATGGGGCAGGCAGAGCAGCAGCGTGACAGAGTGCAGGATCTGGCCGCTGTTGTGAACCCTTGGCTGTATGGTCCCTGCTGAGGGGCAGGTGGGAGATGGCCAGGGTATCCTTTGGTGCAAGAACCTACTCCTTGCCAGCAGAGGAGGGGGGGAGTAAGATTTGGCTCTATATGACTTTGCCATCTTTGGGGAACTTTGGGTTGAGCCATCTTAATTTAATATCAAAATAAGAACTAGCTATGTATGTTTAAGAACAAACTCCCACTATCTTAAAGAACACAAAGTTAATTAAGATGCAGTACTATGCTGTTATTTTAAAAAGAAGTATCCAGAGTGCTTTTCATTCTCAGGATGACCAAAGTAAAATACTTGACAAACTCTTAGTCTGTCCCTGTACTTTCCTGGTGTGAGGAACTCAAGCCAGTATTAACGGGGACAGCATATAGCCAGCCCTAAATACAGGGATCACTACTCCTAATCTATCACAATTATATTCTGTTGACTTATTTCAATGAATACTTTCTTTCTGCTGGCAGAATAATTACTAAATCACATTATGTTTGACATATACATGCATAATATTTATTTCTATTTATTGTGCGGTAGTACTTTATATGACTCATGTTTCATGCTCTGCTCTCTACTTGCTTGTCCATTATATGCCTATCCTAAATCATACTATATAATCTGCACTGGTTAGCCTAAATTCCAATTAAACAATTACAGATACAGTAGGGATTAATTTGGCTTCTCAGCTTAACAATTTCCTCATGTTTACATTGTTAATCAAGATGTTGCAGAGTAAGTACAAGGCCAAAAGTCCTTTACTTTACCAGAACTACTATTTAGGTGATGGTTTTCATCATCTACTTGAAACTGTGACAGCAGCAGAGAATATAGTAGGATTCCCAGGTTTGGTTTAGTTTTGCTTGCATAGCTTCAGCAATGATTTATCTTGCTGACCTCCTTTTTAAGTATACTGAAGTGCAAGTATTCCCAGGGAGAAGTTTGCAATGGAAAGAAGAAACATATACTCGGGAGGAGGTGGAAGAAGGCCTAAAAGCAGGGACATGCTGATTTTGGAAATATTTAGTGTTAAATGTAAATACTTAATTTTATTTTTGCAACAAATGATAGAAAAAAAAAAAAAGACCCAAAGACTAAATCTTTCAGCTAAGTAGTAAAAGCTTCCAGAAAGTTTTGAGAGGCTCTTTTAAGTTTCTTAATAATGTCCTGCTCAGTTTGGAACATACCAAACCATTCTTAGCCCACTCACAAGGTCAGGGTCTCCAGCTCTGCTCTTCTACATCACATTACAGGCTTGGCCAGACCATCATCCCACCAGCTTGTGCAAAGTGATGAGGTGGTTCTATCAATCATCGGGTCCGTTTCAACAGCGACCTCGCTACCAAGGCTGAACTAACAAATCCTCAATGTTAATGGCAGAGCTGTCAAGCTCATTGTCACTGGTGAGTTCTGCAGACGTGGCTAGACACTCAAGAAATAGGTACAGATCACATTCGAGAACAGCGTTACACGATCTTTAGTGGACTAGTGCCATGGCCTGCAGCTTTAAAAGTACTTGATAAATTAGGTAACAAGAACTAGATATTATTTTCTTTTAAATATATTTGTGCAGTCGTAAGTTGTGAAGTGGTGGATGTTAATGTTTTCTCTTTCAATAGAAATAGTTTTATATTGTAGAAGTTTACTACTATAAGAACTTTTATTGTCTGAAGCATTACTAAAAACATATACGTCATCAATAGATGTCTTTGTGAAAGCCATCTCCACTGCTGTATTAACCCACCCAAAGCAAAGAGATATGTTTCTATATTATTGTAAGTACTACACTATTATCAGTATATCTATAGCTATCTATCTTAGACAATATCATCCTTACCAAAGTATTTCTATTTAATGCTGTAATATTTTATGCCACCATTCCTCATTCCTTTCAATCTAAAGTCTAACCCAGCTCCCCCTAAACTCGAGATGAACAGGCTGTGTCTGCAATTCATAGTGGAAAGGCTACCCGGCTAGCTCCAAAATCACATGTAGAACCGCAGTTCAGTAATTCACTGGTGTTTCCCAGAACTGGCTAAGCTAACAAAGTACAAAGTTTCCTTGGAGTGGATACTTAACAAATTGCTAATTTTCCTATACACAGGTTAGAGTTTAAAGCAGAATTTAGGCTTAACTTTTTAGAAGCTAAATTAAGTTATAGGGACAGATTTACCCAGAATATTGTGTCAAATACAGGATCGTATTACATTATGAATAATGGCCCTGAAAAGCCAGGCTCAGGCTGCCTGTAGCCGAGTATTCAGTGTAAATATATCCACTTACTTAGAATAAGCTTTGCTGTTTCTAAGCAGTGCCACATTGTACAGTGGCTTCAGTGGAAACAGGATCAGGTTCCAGCATAAGAAGAGGGGATTGGTGCTTTGCTTTTTTTTTTTTGCCAAAAGAATGGTAGAATGGATCACATATTTCCATTTCGAATTTGTATGAAAATAAAACTGATTTTAATCTTGCGTATCCCTAGTAAACCCCACTTCATACTCTGTTTTATAGTGTCACACACTGGGAAAAACTGAAAAACAGTTAAAAGCTAGGCCTATGAAATTTTATAGTTTATCTACTGAATAACTTATTTTCTATGTATTTTAATTATTCCTCAGCTTTACATATATTGGCAGTGCTGTGAGGCTACAATGGAGCAGAGGCCCTGGTGCAGGAGGAGGTATACATATACAGAGACATACCATCCCTTGGAGCTTTACAGCCTAATCGGAGGGTGAAAAATTGTTAGAATAGGGTGGAAAGCAAAGACTGTTACTGAACAAATACAAAACTGTTGAAGATATTTCACCCTGTGGTTAAATAAAATTAAATAAAAAAAAAAAAACAAACAACTTTTTTTTTTTAAACCAAAGTGAGCCAAAAAGCTTCTCTCATTGAAAATAAGAAAGCAAAAAGTAGAAAAGAAAATACTGCAAGATTTTATGTTATGAGTGAGGAACAACCCTGCACATGCACACACACAGACTTTCAAGCATCTCCAACTAAAGTTCTCAAGCAAATGTAAACTTTTTTATGAAATTGAATGAATAACCAGAAATGTTTTAGTCAATGGATGTGTAGAAGATATTAGCAGCCAATTTGCCACTATTGACTTTTCTTTCAGAAAAAAAAGTTAAATTACGCATTAGAAACCCATCCGATAATTACATGCCCAGGAAAGGAAGACCGTGTACTGCACATAGACTTACATGAGCTTTGCCTACCTAGTCTGAACTCCTCCTCATGCTTAGTTTATCACACGATACACAAATATACCAAAAAAACCAAACCAGAAACCAAGCAAAAAATAAAATAATTTCACAAAAATATAGTATGTATTATAGGAGTACTATGCATATTTAATTTTGCCGAAGAGCTATGAAATACTAAAGGATCTGAAATAAGTTTGTTTTTACAAGTTTTTATTCATTTAAGTAGCTTTTTAAAGCTTTTATAAGGATTCAGTTTTGCACTGTAAAAAAACCTCCAAGCATGATAAAAATCTGCAGACCCAAAGCCCTCTTTCTGTGTAAGAGCACCTATAAAGTGAGGGAACGTGTATGATTTGCAGGATACCTTTCAAAGACAGGTCATAAATAAATGTATGTGAGATGTAATTTCACCTACTAGAGGATTTTTAATGTTGAACCTGGGTTTTGTGATAGGATTACTCTAGATAGAAACGTAAAGAAGCATGCAGAAGGGCATACTTTACATTATATACTAGACTGTACTATGCAGTGCAGTGTATACATGTTAAATCCAGCAAAATTGTATTTCTGGTACTCTTGAATTTCTCTGCTTATCTATGATAGCTTTCTGTACTGTCATCTGTAATTTTTACATGGGAGTAGACAGTAGATATGCACTGCTCTGTTGCAGAAAAATTTATCACATTTTAGACAGGTTTCTGTCTAACATAACTGTGCAAAAAAGTAAGCATTTTTCACAGAAACATCTACATCAGACTGATTGTATTTTGAAATACTGAAAATATTAAACAATCCAAAATAACTTTAAATAAGTGTCGGTTTAACTTAATCTTCTCACCATATAGTTAGATTGTTTCTTCCAAGTTTTGTTTCTCATCAAACCTACAAGTAACTGTTTTTAGCTTTAACTCCCAGCACAGGTAGCAGAACAAAGTACAGAGTCTGATGAGAACACTGGATTCTAAATGAAAATGTACATTATCCATACAGCTCATACCCCAGAAATTCTGAAGTTGCACGTAATTTTGTTGTGCTCAACAGGGTTTGTGACTCAATTTCCTGTTAATTAAAGAAAACTTCAAATGTTTATTGGAAAAATACATTGTACTTATTGCTCAAGTCTAGATAATATT